GGGAATCCTTCTTCGTCAACCTTTTTTTGGCGGACAAGCCGAGTTGGAGACGGTTAACGGATTTATCCGGGGAGGGAGTCAATTAAGCGGCAGAAGAGAAATCTTACTAAAAGCTTGCGGTGTCAAAAGAGCAAACACAAGATCAGAGGCTGTGTGTATCGCACACTCACACGCCCTCCCTGCTCATCCTCAGCACAAAAGATAAATTAACTGGGTTTTTGCTTTTTTTTTTTTGCTTTTTTTTTTTAAAAAACGCACTGCAAAAAAAAAAACTTGTGTAAAAAAAAAAAAACAGCCCAGCCAAATAACAAACTCAGGCCTGTTTTGGGCTCTGCCCAGCGACCGTCAAAATGACGCTAAGATGATTTATATATTTTTTATTTTATTTTATTTTTTTTGGAAGCGCTCGACGGGGGGAAGGAGAGAGGCACCAAATTGCCATCACACTGTTCGGGAGTTGCTGAAGAAGGAGATTTCTTGCAGCTTTAACTCCTCCTGCGTTCCGGGGGAAACGTTCAAGGTTTTCTTTCCAAATAGTGATAGTGAGGGAAAGAGAGAGAGAGAGAGAAAGAAAGAGAGGGAGAGTTAGAGGGAGAGAAAGAAGGGGGAGAGAGACAGGGAGGGAAGAAGAGAGGGGGAGGGGGAGAGGGAGAGAGAGAGGTAGCGAAAGGAGGAGAGTGAGGGAGAGAGGGTGAGAGAGAGGGATGGGGGAGAGAGAGAGAGAGAGAGAGAAAGAGAGGGAGAGTTAGAAGGAGAGAAAGAAGGGGGAGAGAGACAGGGAGGGAGAGAGAGGGAGGGGGAGAGAGGGAGAGAGGGAGGGAAAGGGAAGGGAGAGAGGTAGCAAAAGGGGGAGAGAGGGAGAGAGAGAGGGAAGGAGAGGGAGAGATGGAGGGGAGGGAGGGAGAGAGGGAAAGAGGAAGAGGGAGAGAGGGAGAGGGAGGGAGGGAGAGGAAGAGGAAGAGGGAGGGAGAGAGAAAAGGAGAGAGGGAGAGGGGGAGAGGGAGAGGGGGAGGGAGAGAGGGAGAGAGGAAGGGAAAGGGAGGGGAGAGAGGTAGCGAAAGGGGGAGAGAGAGAGGGATGGGGGGAGAGAGAGAGGGATGGGGGAGAGAGAGAGGGAAGGAGAGAGAGATGGAGGGGAGAGAGGAGGGATAGAGGGAGAGAGAGAGGGAAAGAGGAAGAGGGAGAGAGGGAGAGGGAGGGAGGGAAAGAGGAAGAGAGGGAAAGAGGGAGATGGAGGGAGGGAGAGGAAGAGAGAGGGATAGAGAAAGGAAGAGAGAGAGAGAGGGAGGGAGAGAGAGAGAGACACATACACACAAAAATGTCCATTTTTGATTTCCTTTGGCACATTTCCGAAGGGGGTTTAAAATGCCCCTCCTTCCTTAGAATTCTTGCAAAATTATTTGAATTGGATTCTTTAAATTCCTGAAAATTCTTGCCAGAAGTCTTGCTAAAAATCTGGGGCTGCAGGAAAATTGGGGGCATCCTTTAGATTTTGGAACAAGAAAAGAATGACATCGCCCATCGGGAAGTCAAACTTCCCCAATCCGAATCTGTCTTCAAACGTCACCGCGTTTCCATTCCACAAATTTCTCTTTTCTTTCTTCCGTTATTTCGCCCTGGATGGATCATTTTCTTCTTTTGGTCGGGTGGAAAAATTGACAGTTTAGTGGCCTCTTTGCAAACCTCCCCGCTGAGATTTTTGGTGAAGTGTGTGATTCTTTCCGATGTGTACAAAACGCGTCTTCCAGACCTTTTTCGGCACCATTCTGTCATCGTTTCACATTTCAGTTTCATTATACAAAAAATGTTTCGGGGGAGAAATAAACGCTTTCTCTTTTTTTTTCCAAAAAAAAAAAAAAAAAAACCCTGTTCAATCAATCAGAATAGAGCTGGTAGGGACCCTGGAGGTCTTCTAGTCCAACCCCCTGCTCAAACAGGAGACCTTGTATCATTTCAGACAAGTGTCTTATCCAGTCGCTTTTTAAAAACCTCCAGTTTTGGAGCACCTGCAACTTCTGGTGGCCAGCTGTTCCACGGGTTAATTGTTCTCCTTAGTTCCACATTGCTTCTTTCCTTGATTGGTTTCCATCCGTTGCTTCTTGTCCTGCCTTCTGGTGCTTTGGAAAATAATTTGACCCTCCTCTTCTTTGGGGCAGCCCCTCAAATACTATCATGTCCCCCCCAATCCTTCTTTTCTCTAGACTGGCCGTACCCAGTTCCTGCAACCGTTCTTCGTATGTTTTTTGTCTGTTGCGCAATGCCTATTTATCCCAGATACACGGGAAATTCTTAGGAAATGCAACCGTTGGCGGATTCGCTAATTTTTAGATGCCCGGGGGGAGCGTCTCCCGAACAGGGTCCGTAGGAAGATTAACAACCATCTGAACTCTGACAAAGGAGGAAGAGTGGAGGAGGAGAGAAGGAGAGGATGGAGGAGGAGGAGGAGGAGGAGAAAGGTTGGAAGATTGAGAAGGAGAAGATATGGTAGACAAGGAGAGGAGGAGGAGGAGAAGGAGGAAGAGGGGTGGAGGAGAAAGAAAAGGAGAAAGAGAAGGAGAGGATGGAGAAGGAGGGGAAGGAAGGTTGGAAATGGAGAAGGAGAAGCTGGAGAAGAAGTTGACATAGTAGACAAGGAGAGGAGGATGAGAAGAAGAAGGAGGAAGAGGAGTGGAGTGGAGGAGGAGAGAAGGAGAGGATGGAGGAGGAGGAGAAGAAAGGTTGGAAAATTGAGAAGGAGAAGATATGGTAGACAAGGAGAAGAGGAGGAGGAGAAGGAAGAAGAGGGGTGGAGGAGAAAGAAAAGGAGAAAGAGAAGGAGAGGATGGAGAAGGAGAAGGAAGGTTGGAAATGGAGAAGGAGGAGAAGAAGATGACATAGTAGACAAGGAGAGGAGGATGAGAAGGAGAAGGAGGAAGAGGAGTGGAGTGGAGGAGGAGGAGAAGAAAGGTTGGAAAATTGAGAAGGAGAAGATATGGTAGACAAGGAGAGGAGGAGGAGGAGAAGGAGGAAGAGGGGTGGAGGAGAAAGAAAAGGAGAAAGAGAAGGAGAGGATGGAGAAGGAGGGGAAGGAGGGGAAGGAAGGCTGGAAATGGAGAAGGAGAAGATGGAGAAGTAAAAGATATGGTAGACAAGGAGAGGAGGAGGAGGAAGAGGGATGGAGGAGAAGGAGAAAGAGAGGATGGAGAAGGAGAAGGAAGGTTGGAAGACAGAGGAGAAGGAGAAAGAGAAGATATGGTAGACAAGAAGGGGAGGAGGAGGAGGAGGAGAAAGAGAAGGAGAGGATGGAGAAGGAGGAGAAGGAAGGTTGGAAGCTGGAGAAGGAGAACCTGGAGAAGAAGATGACATAGTAGACAAAGAGAGGAGGATGAGAAGGAGAAGGAGGAAGAGGAGTGGAGGAGGAGAGAAGGAGAGGATGGAGGAGGAGGAGGAGAAAGGTTGGAAGATTGAGAAGGAGAAGATATGGTAGACAAGGAGAGGAGGAGGAGGAGAAGGAGGAAGAGGGGTGGAGGAGAAAGAAAAGGAGAAAGAGAAGGAGAGGATGGAGAAGGAGGAGAAGGAAGGCTGGAAATGGAGAAGGAGAAGATGGAGAAGTAAAAGATATGGTAGACAAGGAGAGGAGGAGGAGGAAGAGGGATGGAGGGGATGGAGAAAGAGAGGATGGAGAAGGAGAAGGAAGGTTGGAAGATGGAGGAGAAGATGGAGAAAGAGAAGACAAGGAGGGGAGGAGGAGGTGAAGGAGGAAGAAGGGTGAAGGAGAGGAGGAGGAGGAGGAAGAGGGGTGGTGGAAGAGGAGAAAAAGAACGGATGGAGAAGGAAGGTTGGAAGATGGAGGAGAAGGAGAAAGAGAAGTTATGGTAGACAAGGAGGGGAGGAGGAGGAGGAGAAGGGGTGGAGGAGGAAGAGGAGGAGAAAGTGAAAGAGAGGATGGAGAAGGAGAAGGAAGGTTGGAAATGGAGAAGGAGAAGATGGAGAAGTAAAAGATATGGTAGACGAGGAGAGGAGGAGGAAGAAAAAGAGAAAGAGAAAAACGCCAAATTCAAAGCAGTTTTTTTTTCCCACCTACCTTCAGACTTCCCACCGTTCTCATTAATCTCCCCATTATAATTAATCCCTATTTCCTGCCGATCGGCAACTTTAGAGATGGGGGACTTTGATTTTTAATTTTTAGGATTTTTTTCTTCTTCTCGCCGTCGTCGTCTCCCACTGGGGGGGGGGACAGAGGAATCCGAGTCCGGCTTGGTAGCTCTGCAGATTTGAAAATTGGGTTTTGTTTTTTTTTTAAATTCTCCCCGGAGAGCGATGGAAAAAGGGGGAAGGATAGAAAAAAATGAAATAAAATAAAGAGAAATAAAAACTCGGAAGAAATACAAATGGGCCTTTGTTTCTAACCTCTTTTATTTGGGTCTGGGAGCATTTTAAACATCTCGATAACATGTGTGGAAAACAAACGTTTTTCGGAGTCTCCGACCGTGTGGCTTTTTCCTGTCGTGGCTTCACACAACCCCCAAGGAGTCCCGTATTAAAAGCAGAATATAGAAGAAACATCAAATCACAGGGAAAGGCGTGAAGTCCAGCAGGTTCTGGCGAACCTGTAGCGGAAATTTTGAGCATAGTTCGGAGAACCGGCAAATACGACCTCTGGCTGGCCCCAGAAGTGGGGTGGGAATGGGGATTTTGCAAGATCCTTCCCCCAGGAGTGGGGAGGGAATGGAGATTTTGCAGTATCCTTCCCCAAGCCACACCACGCCCACCAAGCCACGCCCACAGAACCGGTAGTCAGTTTCCAAGCATGTGATAATTGGTCATAATTGTGAGAAACGCTCCTAAGTACCCATTTTTCAGGGCTGCTGTAACTTTGAAAAGTCACTAAAGGAATTGTTGTAAGTCAAGGACTAGTCTGTAGTTATCCAATCTCGTGTTCAGACAATACGTTATGCCCAAATTTCCAAGATTCATTGCTTTAGATCCTTTTAAAAAAGATTTTTCTCCTCTTTTTGCAGTGAATTTGCTGGATACGTCCAAGATTATAGGAGACTGGGGCTGGCTCATTTATCCTTCCCACGGGGTAAGTAGTAATCGTAATCGTAATCATATAATCATAATCACATTCATAATATTCATAATCAGTCATAATCACAATCATAATAAATCAAATACGCAATCACAGTCACAATCATAATCAATCAGTCACAATCACAGCCATAATCACAATCACAAACACATCACAATCACAATCATAGCCATAATCACAATCACAATCACATCACAATCGCAATCACATCACAATCATAATCACAATCACAATCACAATTACAATCACAATCATAATCACATCACAACACAATCACAATCACATTCCTAACCACAATCATATTCATAATCATATTCACAGTCACAATCACAATCAATCATAATCGCAATCACATCACAATCATAATCACAATCATAATTGCATCACAACCATAATAATCAGTCACAGTCACAATCACAATCACAATCACAATCACATTCATAACACAATCACAATAATAATCAATCACAGTCACAATTACAATCACAATTAATCATAGTCACAATCACAATCACATCACGATCGCATTCATAACCACAATCATATTCATAATCACAGACACATAATCAATCACAATCACAATCATAGTCACAATCACATCACAATCAGAATCACAATTGATCGTGGGATGCTATGCCGGTCGTAAGTGCGAGGACCGGTCGTAAACCACTTTTTTCCCCAGGACCTGTATAACTTCAAACAGTCGCTAGACAAATCGTTTCTAATTCGAGGACCACGTTTTTAATGCAACCTTTTCTGATTCTCTTTTCCCCGAGTGGCTTACCATTGCCTCCTTCCTGGGGCTGAGAGAGAGTGGCTGGCCCAAAGTCCACCAGCTTAGCTTCGTGCCCAAAGCAGGACTAGAACTCGGGGCCTCCTGGAGTTTCTAACCGTGATGCCTTCAAACCACCACAAACGAACTGGCACTCAATAAAAGCCAGATCCAGGCTTAACATGAACAGAAGTTGCCTTCAGAATTTGTGGGAGCTTCATCCTTGGAAGCTTTCAAGAAGAGATTGGACTGCCATTGGTCAGAAATGGTGTAAAATCTCCTGCTCGGGCAGGGGGTTGGACTAGATGACCTCCAAGGTCCCTTCTGTCACTGTTATTCTGTAATCTGTAACATCTGTCTGACCATGCAACAATAATAGTTAAATTTATATTCTGCGTGACTCAGGTTCCGGAAAAATATCTTGGCTGAAATTCAGGGCTTTGCAAAATCCAGATTTTATTTCTCCTGCTGCTTATACGTTAGTCCTCGACTTATAACAGCCTGCTTAGCGACGGTTCGAAGTTACAACAGTACTGAAAAAAAAGTGACTTAGGAATGTTATTCACCCTTACGACCGTTGCAGGGCCCCCCCCCTCTCCCTGTGGTCACTTGGATCAAAATTCCCACGCTTGGCAACTGACTCGTATCCCGGGGTCGTGTGATCTCCTTTTGCGACCTTCTGCTTAACGGCGGCGGCAAGAAAGGCCTCAAAACGAATGAAAGTGCACTTAACAACTCTCTCTCCCTTTAGCCCCAGAGATTCGGGGCTCAGTTACGGTCCTAAGTCGAGGACTTTCTGGTATTTTCATTTTTGGAAATTTTGCTTCGTTTTGGAGCCTCCCAAGTCCTGGATTCCTTTTTTTTCCTTTTTTTTTTGAAGGATCCAGGAGAGCAAAATTAGATCTGGGAAAGTGGTGGTAGATTTGAGCCTTCTTCAGCGCCGACACCCGGCAGGAAAACATCGTCTCAGCCAAACCCCTCGTCTCAATTTTGCACAGCGCGTCTGCAGAAAATTGAATGCAATTTAAGCTTTTTCTCCAGCGGCAAAGATTCGAAGGCTCGCTGCCTCCTTGCATGTCAAAAAGAAAACCAGAGACCAGAGAGAGAAAAAAAACAAACAAGGCAAATCGTAGAACGTAGAATCGTAAGGGTGGAAGGGACCTCGGAGGTCTTCTAGTCCAACCCCCTGCTCAAACAGGAGACCCCCCATTTCAATCAATCAAACAGTCAATCAATCAATCAGAAGACAGATGGAAAGGACGGTTGGGAAAACGGAAAATTTGGGGAATATTATTATTCACCAAATTCTGCCCTCTCCAAACTGTGCCAAATTCAACGCCTTGGATGACGGAGAGTCCTCGGTTTATGACCACACCATTGGGGGGTGTGTCGCTCAGTGAGGCATGCCCGGGGTTTTTTATGGCCGTTATCGCCACCACAGTCATTAAGCGAATCACTGGGGGGGTCGTTTCAGGGAGTCGCACGGTTATTAATCCAGCTTCACATCACACACGCACACACAACAGAATTTTGGGTTGGCTGGCTGGGGGATTCTGGGAGTCGAAGTCCTCACCTCTTAAAACAAGCTAGCTGGGGAATTCTGGGAGTTGAAGTCCACCCATCTTAAAGCATGCTGAGTGGAGGATTCTGGGAGTTGAAGTCCACCCATCTTAAAGCATGCCAGCTGGGGGATTCTGGGAGTTGAAGTCCACCCATCTTAAAGCATGCTGAGTGGAGGATTCTGGGAGTTGAAGTCCACCCATCTTAAAGCATGCTGAGTGGAGGATTCTGGGAGTTGAAGTCCACCCATCTTAAAGCATGCCGGCTGGGGGATTCTGGGAGTTGAAGTCCACCCATCTTAAAGCTGGAAGGGTTGAAAAAAAACTTTCCTCTAAATCCAACCCCCCCAACTGTGAAAATTAGCCCCAAAACCTTTTGCAAAGACGGACAGATTCTCCGTGTCTTTGCAAAAAAGAAAAGCCGAATCATCTCTTGTTTGAGCAGGGGGCTGGACTAGAAGACCTCCAAGGTTCCCTCCGACTTTCGTTCTTCTACCGTCCTTCCATAACGGGTGCAACGCTTGTTCTGATGCCAGCTTCGCAGCCAACAACCACTTCGGATTCCAACCCTTGCCAAACTTGGCGGGCCGAGGAAGCTGGCCGTCTCGCTCGCTCGCTGCCTTGCAGTCTGCCGCCGGAGGCTTCTCCGTTGGGGATGCCAAGCTGCATCTTGGTATTCATGATGAACCCCCCGTTGCCACGTCAGGACGAGAAGCTGCTTCTTCTCTGCCAGCCTGAAATGCATCTGCTGGCATCGGCTTCCAGCTTTTGGCTGGGTGCCAGGAACCCCCCCCACCAGATGCCAAGGGAGAGACACAGCAAATCTTAATCAATGTTAGCCAGGATGGATGCTGCCTGGAGCTCAGAGCCAGCGGCATTTAGGCTGCGATCGAAAAAGAGGAAAAAGCCAATTTGGACAGCAGCAAGTCTCTCTGTGGACCAGCCTGGAGCTTCTATGTATTTGTTAGAGGTTTTTTTTTTTTTTAAACCCCACTTTTATTATTTTTATAAATAAGCCAAGGTGGTGAAGGCAGGGCAAACCCTGCTTTTTTCCCCCTCCTATCTGGCCCATAACAACGACCTTGGGAGATGGGTTGGGTTGAGAGAGAGAGGGACTGGCAGAAAGAAAGAAAAGAAAGAAAAAAAGAAGAAGGAAGGAAGGAAGGAAGGAAGGAAGGAAGGAAAGAAAAAAGAAAGGAGAAAGAAAGAAAAAGGAAAAGGAAGGAAGGAAGGAAGGGAAAAAGAAAGAAAGGAAGGAAGGAAGGAAAGAAGGAAGGAAGGAGGAAGGAAAGGAAAGGAAGATGGAAAGAAGGAGGAAGGAGAGAAAGAATGAAAAAGAGTGAGAGGAAGAAAGGAAAAAACAGAAGGAAGAAAAGAAAAAGAAAGAAAGTAAGAAAGAGGAAGGAAGTCAGAAGGAAGGAAGGAAAGAGAAAGGAAAAGAGAAAGAAAATAGAGGAAGGAAGGAAGGAAAGGAAGGAAAGGAAAAGAAAAAGAAAGAAAGAAGGAAGGGAAGGAAAGAAAAAGGAAGGAAGGAAGAGAAAAAGAAAGAAAGAAAGGGAGGAAAGGAAGATGGAAAGAAGGGAGAAAGGAGAGAAAGGAAGGAAGGAAGGAAGAAAAAGAGTGAGAGGAAGAAAGGAAAAAAGGAGAAAGGAAAGAAAAAGAAAGAAAGAAAGAGAGGAAGGAAGGAAGGAAAGAAAGGAAAAGAGAAAGAGAAAGAAAAGAGAGGAAGGAAGGAAGGAAAGAAAGGAAAGGAAAAGAAAAAGAAAGAGAAGGAAAAAAGAAAGAAAAAGGAAGGAAGGAAAGAGAAAGGGGAGGAGAAGTGAGGAAAAGAGAGAGAAGGGAAGGAGAAAAAGCATAGAATTATGACTTATGCCCCTTACTTTCCATCAAGTAGTTGTCACTTTCTTGTTTCCCCTCCCTCTTCAATATTTTTTAATCCCCTCATCATAGAATCACAGGGCCTTGGGAAGAGACCTCGGAGCTCATCTAGTCCAACCCGCTTCTCAAGCAGGAGTTCCCGGACTAACAGCTATCCGAACTCTTCTTAAAAAAACCCTCCCGCGATGGGAGCCACTCACCATTTCTGTTCCACGGGTCCATTCTTCTAAACCGTCGGGCCTCTTCCGTTCTACGTTTGGATAGAAAGAACCCTGGGTTCAAATCCTGACACCCCCCTCTTCCCCCTCCCTCTTTCCCCGCTTTCTCTCTCCCCAGTGGGACTCCATCAACGAGATGGACGAATTCTTCCAGCCCATCCACACTTACCAGGTGTGCAACGTCATGACGGCCAATCAGAACAACTGGCTGAGGACCAGTTGGATCCAGCGGCACGGAGCTCACCGGGTTTACGCCGAGATCCAGTTCACCCTACGGGATTGCAACAGTATGCCCGGTGTGCTGGGCACTTGCAAAGAGACCTTTAACCTTTACTACCTCCAATCCGACCGGGATCTGGGCAGTACCACCCGCGAGAGCCAGTTTGTCAAAATCGACACCATCGCGGCCGACGAGAGTTTCACCAACGTCGACCTCGGGGTCCGGCGTCTGAAGCTGAACACCGAAGTCCGAGGGGTTGGACCCCTCACCAAGCGGGGTTTTTACCTGGCCTTCCAGGATATCGGGGCCTGTATCGCCGTCGTGTCCGTCCGCGTCTATTACAAGAAGTGTCCCGCCATGGTCAGGAACCTGGCGGCTTTCTCCGAAGCGGTGACGGGTGCGGATTCCTCCTCCCTGGTGGAGGTGCGGGGAGAGTGCGTGTCGCACTCGGAGGAGAGGGACACCCCCAAAATGTACTGCAGCGCGGAAGGAGAGTGGCTGGTGCCCATCGGGAAGTGCGTCTGCAGCGCCGGGTACGAAGAACGGAAGGACGCGTGTTCGGGTAAGACGCGGGTCGGGGAGGATGGTTTGGGGGAGGGGGGGTACTGATACGGCGGCGAGAGAAAAATCCGGGAAAAATCCTTGCCCAAGCAATCCTCGACTTACGACCACAACAGAACACTAAATGTCTCTTGCTAAGCGGGCCGCTTGAGTTTTGCTCCGTTTTTATGACCCGTCGTTTTTAAGTGAATCACTCCAGTGGTTAAGTCAGGAGTGGTGCGGTGGCCTTAGAGGTGGAGCTCCCGCCTCACAATCGGGAGGCTGTGAGTTTAATCCTCAGTAGAGGTAGATATTTCTCTCTCTCTGGGCACAATGACAATATATCAGGCTGAACAAAACTCTGCACTGGTGATAAGAAGGGCATCCGGCCATTCAACACTCTACTAGCTTCATTCAGTTGCCCAGACTCCACCCTGCAAGGGATTATGGGGTCATTAAAAGGAGATGATGACTCCCACAGTTAAGTCAATAACATGGTTGTTAAGCGAATCCGGCTTCCCTGTCGATTTTGTTCGTCGGAAGGTCGACAACCCGGGACGCTATGACTGTCGTAAAGATGAGTCAGTGGCCAAGCGTACAAATTTGGATCGCGTGACCACAGAGTATAACGGTCATAAGTGTTAAGTGTGTTAAGTCCCGTTTTTCGTTGCTGTTGTAACTTCGGTCACTAAATGAACCGTTGTAAGTCGAGGACCAGCTGTACAATAGCCAAAGTCTCAGATAAAAATACAGATTCTCATAGGAAGTCATTTTCCCACAGTTAAAACAATGAATGAAAACAATCTTTTATTAGTCAGCTTTCCAGATAAAACTCTCTTTTTTCAGATCGAACAACTGTGTTATTAACTTAAGAAATGAAGTGATTCACTTAACGGTGGCAAGAAGGGTCATAAAATGGGGCAAAACTCCTTTAACACCTTTCTAGCTTAGCAACAGAAATCTACGGTGGGGGGGGGACTCTCTTGCGGTTGTAAGTCGAGGACTACTTGCGGGCTGTGTGAAAGAGATTTCATTTTGTTAGACTTAATTGCCGTTGACGTTTTATCCAAATATTTGCCTTTCCTCCAGAAAGGACTGATTAAGATCTGTTCGTTTCCCCCAAACGGCAAAGTAGGTTACCTTGAAACACAACGGCTTCTTCGCACAACACAACACAATTCACGAAGTCGTTTACACACCCATCTTGGTCATTCAAAGATGGCCGGGCTTCAACTCCAGCAGTGGGTTTCACATACTCTTACCACTGTTTCACCGCTCGTGCACACGTTTGCTTCATGTGCGTGCCTTCTCGACATGCACCTAGCCTTCCGTGCATCTGCTTTACTCGTGTGCGTGTGTTCTGCGCATGCGCCGGCCTCAAAAACATGGCTAAATAGGATGGCATTACGCCTGGGCGGGTCCACCCCACCTGCAGTCGCCGCTACGGGTTTGCCTGAACTGGTTCGAACCGGCTGAATACCACCTCTGTTCAACTTCCGTCACATCCTTTCATTCTGTGAAAAACCCAGTTAACACAAACCCTGGTTTCGAGCCTGGCTAAGGAGGTCGAGAAAGGAATTCAGGAGGAGAATTCAGTTAGTCCTTACTTGACCGGCGCTCGTTTAGTGACCGTTTGAAGTTACAACGTCACTTGAATAAAGGGAGTTAGGATGGTTTTTTTCTCCCTTACGGCCGATGCAGCCTCACGTGATCAAAATTCAAAGGCTCGGCAACTGGCATGTACTTATGACGGTTTGCGGTGTCCCAAATGACTTTCCGACCAGCAAAATCAACGGGGGAGCCAGATCAGAGGTTGTATTCAGCCGGGGGAACTGGTAGCGGAAATTACGGGCGGGCCTGCCCACCTGCCCTGGCTCTATACTGTCCTATTTAGGCACGTTTTTGAGGCCAGGTGCATGAGCGAAAGGCAACGGCGGTGGCAAGAAAGGACATCAAACATGACGAGAGCCCCTTAGCGACCATCTCGCTTAGCAACAGCAGTTTGGCGCTCGATTCCTGGTCATAAAACAAGAGGACACCCCACCCCCTGTTATTTTCCCAAGCTGAAATCTGAATCGACAGCTTTACCCCGATGATGTGTTTCTTCCTCGGAGGGTGTCATTCCTGCATTTCACAAAGTCGCGCAACACAAACTCCATCTGTCTGTCCGTCCATCTGTCCGTCTCCCCCGCCCCCCAGAGGGGCTCCGGCAAGATCATCCGGCCTGCCACTTGTCTCTAAACGACGATAAGAAGCCGGGAAGAAGACGTGCGGTGCCGCTCGCCCGAGGCGACGCGTGTTCAGGGGAGCCACCGAGGAGACGATGTTTATTTGCTTCTTCTCCAAAGAAAGAAGCGAGCGATGGAGCTTGGCAAAGACATCGCGGGGGCTTTGTTCAGCTCCGGGGGAAACGGGCGAGTTTCTGCCTTGACAAAATTTAACACAAGGATAGCACCATCAAAGTCACGGCGGGAATGGAAGGACGCCAGAGCGAAAAGAGGTCCCCGCCGTCAGATTACGCTGGATAAATTTGGGACGGCGTTCCAGTTTTTTTTTTGCAAACAGCCCGTCTCTGTTTTCCAAGGGAGTTTTTTTTTTCAAGAAGAGACCGGATGGCCAATGTGTCTAAAATGGTTTAGGGCCGTGATGGCAAACCTATGGCACGTGTGCCACAGGTGGCATGTAGAGCCATATCTGTGGGCACGCGACGTTGCCATAGCTCGGCTCCAACACGCATCTGCGCACCGGCCAGCTGATTTTCTAGCCTTTTGGGCCCACTGGAAGTCAGGAAATGGGCCATTTCCAGCCTCCAGAGGGCCTCCGGGGGATGGGGAAGGCTGTTTTTTGCCCTCCCCAGGCGCCAAGAAAGTCTCTGGAGCCTGCGGAGGGCGAAAAATGGTCCTACCGGGTCCACTGTGCCATTGCGTGCCAAAAGCGGGGGGAGTGTGGGTGGGGTTGCGTGTGCGTGCACAGGGGAGTGGGGCACTTTGAATTATGGGTGTGGGCATCCCCCCCCAATCCCCCCGTTTTTGGCGTGCGATGGCAAAAAGGTTAGCTCTCACTGGTCTTGGGTTCATCCCTGGAGGTTTTTAAAGGAGAGACTGGACAGCCATTTCTCTGAAATGGACTACGGTGTCCTGTCTTTGAACGGTCACGAAACGGATGGCCGTAATTCGAGGACCCACCTGCCTCATCCCCATGAAGAGAAATAACTGAGAATAACTTTTAGATCGATGGTCGTAACTTTTAAGCAAAAGGTGCTTTAAAACCTTGCACGGATTCCCATCTTGCTCGTTTGAAGATTGAACGACAGATCGTAACCGCAATAGATTTAGGTTACGTTCGCATTGGAATCGATAGATTTATCGATTAAATGACGGAGAAGAAAGAACGACAGAGGAAAAGAGTTTAATTTGGAATTGCTAAATAGACCCCTTGGTCATTTCCCCCCCCCCTTCGGATAGACAGGGCAAATAACGGACTATAAATAAACACCCTTTGAGATTCGTAGGGAAGGCTTTGCAGGGGGAAAAAAAATCGCTTTATTTATTCATGCCAAGTCCTTCCTTATTAGATCAGTTTATTTTTAGAACTTGGAATAATACAATTACGAGAGGAAAATGAAAGTACGTTTGCCCAGACATGGATGGCATTACAAAATAATAATAATAATAATAATACGCTGAAAACGTTTTTGGCTCCCTTCCTTTTACAGATAGTCCTGGACTGACAACGGTCCATTTAGTGACCGTTCGAAGTTACAACGGAAAAAGTGACATATGATTTGTTTTTTCACAAAACCGTCCCCAGGGTCAGGTGATCCGAAATTCAGATGCTGGGCAGCTGACTTGTACTTATGACGGGATGGATGGATTGGTTGAAACGGTCTCGGGTCTCCTGCAGGGGGCTGGACTAGAAGACCTCCGAAGTCCCTTCCAGCTCTATTCTGATTCAGAAGCGAAATGTTTTCCAAGAAAAAAACAACATCCCAGATAAATAAATAAATAAATAAATAAATAAATAAATAAGATGACGTGCGTAGCGGCTGTGTTTCGTGAACCTGGGTTTGCAAAATTGGGTGGATGATAAATAATAAAAGTAACAATTTTTTTTTGTCGTTTAATGACCTGTAATCCCTTGTGGGGCGGAATCTGGGCAATTGAATGGAGCTAGCAGAATATTGAATGGCCGGATGCCTTTCCTGTTGCCGGCGTGGAGTTTTGTTCGGCAGATCTATTTCTCATCATGCCCAGAAAGACAAATATTTGCCTCTACCTAGGATTGAACTCACAGCCTCCCGATTGTGAGGCGAGAGATCCACCTCTAAGGCCACGAAACCACTCAATAATAATAATAATAATAAATAATAATAATAATAATAGATAAAAATCAAAGCAATAATAATACAATTAAAATGAATAAATAAACCGCCATGTCTGACTTCTTCTCCTCCTCCTTCTTTTTTCTGCTTCTTCTCTTTTCCAGCCTGCCAAGTTGGGTTTTATAAATCTTCCCCCGGAGACCAGCTGTGTGCCAGGTGTCCCGCTAACAGCTACTCCGACACCTTGGCCGCGCAGGTGTGCCGCTGTGAAAACACCTTTTACCGGGCGCCCCAGGATCCCCCTTCGGCGGCCTGCACCCCTACGTATCTCCCTTCTCGTCCGTGAATTTGCCGGTTCCGAGGCCTCCCCGATCTTCCTCTTCGTCAATCGCGTTGCCCTTCCGGTGGCCATTTCCCTGATCGTGAAGGAATTCCCCCACTCGTTCATGGGGTGAAGGGGTTACGTAGTTTTTTCCCCCACTTTTGGGATGACCTGGACTGTAGTGCACCCCAAAATAATTTAATAAACAGCAGGACAAGATATAAAATAAAAACACTGGTATTTCGTAAAAACAACAACAACAAGCAAGGTCCCAAGCCTTTGTCTCTCTCTCTCTCTCTCTTTATCTTTCTTTCTTTCTTTCTTTCTTTCTTTCTTTCTTTCTTTCTTTCTTTCTTTCTTTCTTTTCTTTCTTTCTTTCTTTCTCCCTTCCTCCCTTCCTTTTCTTCCTTCCTTCCTTCCTCTCTCTCTTTTCCTCCCTTCTTTCCTTTCTTTCTATCTTTTCCTTCCTTCCTTCCTCTTTCTTTCTCTCTCTCTCTCTTCCTTCCTTCTACAGGTCTCCTGCGTGAGCAGGGGGTTGGACTAGATGACCTCCAAGATCCCTTCCAACCCTGTTACTTCTTTCTTTCTTTCTTTCTTTCTTTCTTTTTCTTTCTTTCTTTCTTTCTTTCCTTCCTTCTTTTCTTTCTTTCTCTCTTCCTTCTTTCTTTCTTTCTCTCTCTTCCTTCCTTCTTTTCTTCCTTCCTTCCTTCCTCTTTTCCTCCCTTCTTTCCTTTCTTTCTATCTTTTCCTTCCTTCCTTCCTCTTTCTTTCTCTCTCTCTCTCTCTTCCTTCCTTCTACAGGTCTCCTGCGTAAGCAGGGGGTTGGACTAGATGACCTCCAAGATCCCTTCCAACCCTGTTACTTCTTTCTTTCTTTCTTCTTTTTCTTTCTTTCTTTCTTTTCCTTCCTTCTTTTCTTTCTTTCTCTCTTCCTTCTTTCTTTCTTTCTTTCTCTCTCTTCCTTCCTTCTTTTCTTCCTTCCTTCCTTCCTTCCTCTTTTCCTCCTTCTTTCCTTTCTTTCTATCTTTTCCTTCCACTTTCTTTCTTTCTCTCTCTCTTCCTTCCTTCCTTCCTTCCTTCCTTCCTTCCTTCCTTCCTTCATTTCTTTCTTTGTTTCTCTCTCTCTCTTCCTTCTTTCGTTTCTTTCTTTCTCTGTCTATCTTCTTTCCTTCCTACAAGTTTCCTGTGTGAGCAGGGGGTTGGATTAGATGACCTCCAAGGTTCCTTCCAACTCTGTTACTCTTTCTTTCTTCTTTCTTTCTTTCTTTCTTCTTTCTTTCTTTCTTTCTTTCTTTCTTTCTTTCTTTCTTTCTTTCTTCTTCCTTCCTTCCTTCCTTCCTTCCTTCCTTCCTTCCTTCCTTCCTTCCTTCCTTCCTTCCTCTCTCTCCCCCCGTGTGTGTGTGTAAAGGTATGCTTGATTTAATTATAAATTCCCAAGATCAGATTCTCAAATCCGTTGCGTTCTCCCCTCTTTGTCTGTCCATCATACAGCTGAAGGCTAAGCCGTCCCTTATCTGACCATGTCCCTAGGTAGCATCTCTTCTCTCCACCTCTCGAGGGCATTCGCACATACAATTACACACTTCGCAATGCGGCCACCACCCCCTTTTGCAACCTGATAAATTAGAAAGGATCTTCCCTGATTTTCTTTCCCCTACCTGTGATGCATCTGTGGGCTAGGCCGTCTCTTATCTGTCCATTCCTAGCCAGCATCTCTTCCCTCCGTCCCTCAAGGTCTTTCCCAAATGTGACCTCGCCCTGCCCTCCGAGTTGGACCTCAGCTTGGCTTCCGCCTTGACCTTCAGCTTCTTCTGAACTTCTCCAGGTCCTCCTTCCGCTCCCACGAACCTGCTCTCCAGCGTGAACGGCACGACCGTGACCCTCGACTGGGCCCCTCCGCTGGACAAAGGAGGACGCCAAGACGTCACTTACAACGTGATCTGTCATCGCTGCACCTGGGGAGGGGGCCATTGCGAATCCTGCGGGTCCGGGATCCGTTTCCTCCCTCAGCAGATGAATTTGGCCCAAGGGTCTCTATCCATCTCCAACCTCATGGCTCACACCAATTATTCCTTCTCGGTGGAGGCCGTCAACGGCGTCTCCGACCTCAGCTTCGAGTCCCCAAGATTTGTGGCCGTCAACATCACCACGAACCAGGCAGGTAGGAGAAGGTGTGCCCCCCCGTACCCCAACTCACCTCACCCCGCTCCTCTAGATAGACAGACAGACAGACAGATAGATGGATAGATGATAGATAGACAGATAGATAGATGGATAGATGATAGATAGATAGATAGATGATAGATAGATAGATAGATAGATAGATAGATAGATGATAGATAGATAGATAGATAGATGATAGATAGATAGACAGATAAATAGAAGATAGACAGACAGATAGATAGATAGACAGACATCTATCTATGATGTCTGTTAGATGATAGATAGATAGAAGATAGATAGATAGATAGATAGATTTATTTATTTATTTATTTATTTATTTATTTATTTATTTATTTATTTATTTTATTATATTTCTATACTGCCCTTCTCCTGCGGGACTCAGGGCGGTGTACAGCCAGGATAAAACATAGCATATAAAATTTAAAAACATTTAAAAAAACAATTAAATAAATTTTGGCCCGAATTTAAAACAACCCAATTAAAACCAAAATTCAATTAAAAACTGAGAGGATGGGATCAAGATGATTGATAGATAGATGATAGATAGATAGATAGATGATAGATGATAGATAGATAGATAGATAGATGATAGATAGATAGACAGATAAATAGAAGATAGACAGACAGATAGATAGATAGACAGACATCTGGCCTAATTTTTTAAGTGTTTTTAAGTGTTTTGTTTATTATTTTTAACTAATGGGGCCAAATTTATATATGTATATTTTAACTGTATTTTAATATTTGTACTTGATGTTTTTACTTGGCTGTTCACCGCCCTGAGTCCTCAGGGAGAAGGGCGGTATACAAATTCAAAATAAAATAAAATAAAAAAAAATAAAATCTATCTATGATGTCTGTTAGATGATAGATAGATAGAAGATAGATAGATAGATAGATAGATAGATAGATAGATAGATAGATAGATAGATAGATAGATATAAAGATGGATGGATGGATGGATGGATGGATGGATGGATGGATGGATAGATAGATAAGATATGGTATAGGGTGTCTCCCGCTTGAGCAGAGGGTTGGACTAGAAGATCTCTGAGGCCCCTTCCAATCCTACGATGCCACTACTTTCAAGGAAAGACGGTTGAGAATTCGCCTTTTCCGGTGCGGAGGACATCCCGTCAGCCTCGGCTGGGGAACCCCTCCGCTCGCATGGAAACCGGGCCAGCTTGGCGAGGAATTATTTTCACATCTTGCAAATCAAATCAGTTCCCCCCGGTTATCAGATTGCAGCCTTAATTGTAGCTATTAATGGCAATCATTTACAGTATTAGCTGCTCCGGTGGAGATCGTTCTACCCTAATTGCTATTATTTAATGGCTTGGGAAAAACGGAAATCCGGATGCAAGTTGGAACTGTGCACGCTGCTTGGCTGAATTTTTTTTTTTTTTTTTTATTTTTTAATGTTATTTCCTATTTTATGTGCAATCGCTTTCTCAATAATTCTTAATGGCGGATGGGCAATTTTCACGGCGGGAGTCTTATTAAGCCGTTTTTTACATTTCTCTGGTGACCCCAAGCTGTTCTTCAATTTAAGAGTGTCGTTTTATTTTGTGTTCTGTTTTTTTTTCCCCCTCTTTCTTTTCCTCTAAAATAGCCACACTCGCTCTGCAAACGAACTGTATAAAGATTGCGCGGTGTGTAAAAAGCATATTACAAGATTTGCAACCGCAGCTTGTTTTGATTCCAGAGGACAAAGAAAGAAAGAAATGAAAAGCAGATAAAGAGATGCGTTTCGTTTCCTTGTCCACGTACTAAAAATTAATCAGATTAATTTCCCCTCCTGTCTTTAACAGTTTCTCCGTTCTCCGTCGTAAAACATTTTAATTTGCGAACATGTTTTAAAAAATTTTAGGCTCCACCTAAAGTTTTGAAAACGGAGAGGCCCAGGACTAGAGTTTGCCTAACTCCAATTTGGGGGGGGGGGGGAAATTGACCTTAAAAAGTAAAATAAAATGGAAAGGATCTCTTTTCTCTTATCTGCTTTGTCATCTTATATCTGATGGTTTAAATATTTTTCATGCTATGGGCTGCCCGGAGACGTTTGACATGAGATGGGTGCCAACTAAATTTCATAACCCATAAAATAATAAAAACAAATGAATCTATTTATTTATTTATAGTGAGCGATAATTGTGGAATATCCAAAGTATCAAAATTAGTGGCAGGAGAGAAAGAAAGAAAGAAAGAAAGAGAGAGAGAGAGAGAGAGAGAGAGAGAGAGAGAGAGAGAGAGAGAGAGAGAGAGAAAGAAAGAAAGAAAGAAAGAAAAAGAAAGAAAGAAAGAAAGAGGGAGGGAGGGAGAAGGAGAGAGAGAGAGAGGAGGGAGGGAGGAAACATGAAAGGAGGAAGGAAGGAAGGAGAAAAAAACATGGAAGGAACAAGAAAGATGGATGGCTGGAAGGAGGGAAGGAAGGAAGTAAAAAGAAAGATGGAAGAAAGGAAGAAGAAAGATGGCTGGAAGGAAGGAAGGAAACATGAAGAGGAAGAAAAGGAAGGAAGGAGAAAAAAACATGGAAGGAACAGGAAAGATGGATGGATAGAAGGAGGGAAAGAAGAAAGGAAAAAGAAAGATGGAAGAAAGGAAGAAGAAAGAAAGATGAAAGGAAGGAAACATGAAAGGAGGAAGAAAAAGAAGGAAGGAGAAAAAAACATGGAAGGAACAAGAAGGAGGGATGGAAGGAGGGAAGGAAGGAAGGAAAAAGAAAGATGGAAGAAAGGAAGAAGAAAGAAAGATGAAAGGAAGGAAACATGAAAGGAGGAAGAAAAAGAAGGAAGGAGAAAAAAACATGGAAGGAACAAGAAGGATGGATGGAAGGAGGGAAGGAAGGAAGGAAAAAGAAAGATGGAAGAAAGGAAGAAGAAAGAAAGATGGAAGGAAGGAAACATGAAAGGAGGGTGGGGGAGAGGAAGAGAAAGAAGGGAAGAAGGAAGGAAGGAAGGAAACATGAAAGTAGGGAGGATAGGGAGGGAAGGAAAGAAAGAAGGAAGGAAGACCAGAAGTAGGAGGGGAAAAAAGAGAGACTAGTATAACACTTTTTAATATATATATTAAACCCTTTTTATTTTCATCACTTTATTTCATCCCCCATCACTCCAGCGCAAAATTTATTTTATGTACGTTGGGGTGTAGCCTCCCTTGCCTGCCCCCCCCTCCCGCTTGTTTATTTTGCTTAATTAGTAAAACCGGTTTATTAAAAAGAAAGAAAGAAAGAAAGAAAGCCAACCAGAAGGCTAGAGAGAGAAGGAGCCTGCCGTGCCAAGGTCACCTTGCATTTCTTGCATTAAATGGGAAACACGTTCAGCCGGCTGCATCGTTCACCATCTTCCTGCATCTACAGAGACGTCTCTTGCTATCTCTCTCCGTCGGGGTAGCTGCACAGATTTTCAACTTGGAGGGAAATCATCCAAGAAACAGATTTAAAAAAAAAAAAGATTGTTTTTTTAAAAAAGATTTTTCAATAAACACTTTTTTTAAAAAAGACTTTTTTTTAAAAAAAAGACCTTTTTTTAAAAAGATTTTTTTTTTAAAAAAAAGACTTTTTTTTTAAAAAAAGACCTTTTTAAAAAAAGACATTTTTCAAAAATAAAAAAAACCCTCTTAATTAATTTGCACTATTATCCTGCAAGCCAAGCGGAGACTTTTGAAAAGGAGATTGGGTGGGGGGGGAGAGAGAGAAAAAGAGAGAGAGACAGAGAGAGAGAGAGAGGGAGAGAATGAGAAAGGGAGAGTGTGGGAGAGAGGGAGAGAGAGAAAAAGAGGAAGAGAGAGAATGTGGGAGAGAGAGAGGAAGAGAGAAAGAAAGAAAGAAGAAAGAAAAGGAAGAAAGAAGAAGGAAAAGAAAAAAGAAAGAAAGAAGTAAGAAAGAAAGAAAGAAAGGGAGAGAGGGAGAATGTGGGAGAGAGAGAAAGAGAGAGAGAGAGAAAGAGAGAAAATGAAAGAAAGAGAGAGAGAGAGAGAAAGGAAGAGAATGTGGAAGAGAGGGAGAGAGAGAGAAAGAAAGAGAGAGAGAGAGAGAAAGAAAGAGAGAGGGAAATCCTTCAGGTCACAGTCCAGGATCCCAGGCAAGAACCTTACCTGTGGGGCAGCCATGGCTCCACCCCTTCATTTGCATGCCACCTGGAGGGAGGAGCTGTGGGCGGGGCTTGTTCCCTCTTCTCCCCTGACCTGCTCGGTTTTTTCCCCTTTTTCTCCGCAGCGCCTTCCCAAGTGACAGCAATCGAACAGCAAAATGTGGGTCAGAACAGCGTCACCCTCCTCTGGTCCCAGCCGGAGCAGCCAAACGGCATTATTCTGGAATACGAAATTAAATATTACGAGAAGGTAAGTCTCATCTCCGCCCTGGGGTGGGGGGGGAGGGGGTAGAATGTCAGGGTTCCGACGGGGCGACATTCCAAGTGAAGCCAACTCTGACCCCATGGAATTTACGGCCCAGGCTTGACTCTGTTTCCCCCCCCTCCCCCCAGGGTGTGTCATCAGTCACATTTGCCAAAGGAGCAATTTTGCGGCTTGTAGAAATCACTCCCCTCCGTCCACTGTGGGTAACCCTGGGAGACAGCCTTGACAAAGATATGTCTGGAGTGTGCTTTTGTTTTCGGCTGCTGTGCTGCTTCGCCGTAGCTGCAAATTCATTTTCCCAGGCTGGATTCAGAGGTGACCCCTGACCCCCTTCTGTCCCCCCAGGACAAGGAGATGCAGAGCTATTCCACCCTGAAGTCCAAGGGCAACCGTACCACCGTCTTCGGCCTGAAACCGGCCACCCGGTACATATTCCAGGTCCGAGCTCGGACATCGGCCGGCTGCGGCAAGTTCAGCGAAGCCTTGGAGGTCGAAACAGCCAAAGCAAGTGAGATAAAATAGAGAGGAGGAGGAGTGTGGGAAGAACTGGGGAGGGGGAGGGGGGTGCTGGGGAGGGAGAGACGACCAGAAGGTTTCCCCAAGGAGGTGTTTTTTTTTTTTTTTTTTTTTTTTTACGGAGGGCAACTGCATGTCGGGAAGAATACCAGACCCAGGAAAGAGATCCTGATTTTGGAGAGAGGTGTTTCTTCGTCACCCCGCTTCGTGCGCACTGGCCATTTAAAAAAAATAATAATAATCACATTTTGGAGGGGGGGGGCATGCTTTGCAAGTGGAGGCCTTGTTCTTATTTTCCCCTTTTTTTATTTTGGCAAGAATTCTTCCCCTCCAGATGATGTTTTCTTTGCATGCTTCTTGCTCCATTGTTTCTTCTTCTTCTTCTTCTTCTTCTTCTTTCTTCTTCTTCTTCTTCTTCTTCTTCTTCTTCTTCTTCTTCTTCTCTTCTTCTTCTTCTTCTTCTTCTTCTTCTTCTTCTTCTTCTTCTTCTTCTTCTCCTCCTCCTCCTCCTCCTCCTCCTCCTCCTCCTCCTCCTCCTCCTCCTCTCTGCAAACCCCATTTCTTGCTAATACTGATGATGTTACCTAGCTGGGTAATGAAATGTTTGCAAGAAAACCATTAAGCCCAGAGAGTCCTTGTCTTCCTCCTCCTTCCCTCTTCCCGACACTCCTCCTTCCTTCCTTCCTTCCTTCCTTCCTTCCTTCCTTCCTTCCTTCCTTTCCTCCTTCTTCTTTCCTTCCTTCCTTCCTTTTATTTTCCTTCCTTCCTTCTCCCTCACGTCTCCTCTCTCCTTCCTTGTCTTTTCTTTCCTTCCTTCCTTCCTTTTTTTATTTTCCTTCCTTCCTTCTCCCTCACATCTCCTCCCTCCCTCTCTCCCTCCATCCTTGTCTTTCCTTCCTTCCCTCCTCCTTCTCCCCTTCCTTCCTTCCTTTTACTTTCCTTCCTTCCTTCTCCCTCACATCTCCTCCCTCCCTCTCTCCCTCCCTCGTATTTTCCTTCCTTCCTTCCCTCCTTCCTCCTTCTCCCCTTCCTTCCTTCCTTCTATTTTCTTTCCTTCCTTCTCCCTCATATCTCCTCTCTCCCTCTCTCTCTCTCTCCATCCTTGTCTTTTCCTCCCTCCCTCCCTTCTTTCCTTCCTTCATTTCCTCCTCCACCTCTTTCCTCTTTCTTCTTCACCTCTTGGCTGGCCATGTTTCAAAACCTGGGGAAACTGACCGGTGCCAGGTCTGTTGTCGCTCAAATCCCCTCTTTTCCTTTTTTTCTTTTTTTCCAGTAGTCCCCCAGTATGACACCATGACGGTGGTCTGGGTCTGCCTGACACTCATCAGCGGCTTAGTAGCAATGCTTCTACTCCTCATTTGCAAGAAGAGGTAGGGGTTCCCTCCTTCGAGCGGGCCGGGTTTCCCACCGTTCCCAAAACGACTCACTCACCCCGTTCGCCAAGAGAAATTTTCACACTTTTTTACACAACTGCGCTTCTCTCCCGGCCAGGCAGCCTGCTTCCCCGTTAAGAACCTGCTTTCGGGGTGATTGGGGGTCTCGGGGATGGGTTGGGTGGGGGTGGGAATAAATCCAAACCGGAAGCAGCTCCCTGGCTTAACCGTTAGGAAGTTTGTGCGGTGAGTTGTGCCCTTCACAACTTTGTCACTTCCCTCCTCCTCCTCCTCCTCCACAACAGGCACTGTGGCTACAGCAAAGCTTTCCAAGATCCCGACGAGGAAAAAATGCATTACCAGAACGGGCAGGGTAAGTTCAAGAAAAAAAAAAAAAACAGCTAGTCCTCGACTTACAACGCTTCATTTAGTGACCGTTCCAAGTTACGACGTCACTGGAAAAAAAGGAAACGTTTTCGCCCTTACGACCGTTGTATATCCTTATGTTCATGCGATCAAAATTCAGACGCTCGGCGGCTGACTCGTATTTATGACGGGGTCCCGGCGTCCCCCGGGTTGGTCTCACGATTCCCCCTTTTGTGACCTTCCGATAAGCAAAGCCAGATTCGCGTGTCACTAATTGAACCACTGCAGGGATCCATTTAACAACAGTGACAGGGAAGGTCGTAAAACAGGACAAAAGCTCACTGAGCAACTGCCTCCCTTGGGAACAGAAATGTTAGGCTCCGTCGTTGCAGTCGTAAGTCGAGAACTACCTATACAGCTGAATGCAGATAGTTCTTCAACTTACGACCGCTTTGGGGGCCAGAATTTGTTGCTAACCAGGGCAGAATTTCCCTCATTAAGTGAGGCGTGATCAATTTCACCGTTTTATTTTTTTGCCACAGTCGTTAAGTGAATTGCTGAAGTCATTAAGTGAGTAGGTGGTCGTTAAGCGAATCTGGCTTCCCCCATTGACTTTGCTTGAAAGGAGGTCGCAAATGTGGCTCCCGTGATCACGGGGGACATTGCAACGGTCGTTAAAGTGTGAAAAACCCGTCATAAATGAGAGTCCACTGCCCCATGTCTGAATTTCGATCATGTGACCATGGGGGCGGGATGGCCACGAAGGACGTGGCCATAAATCGAGGTCTTTAAGATGAGGTGGCCAGTCACCCCTCCTAGGACCTAGAGGGTTAGGTAGGTTGGTTTTCCTGCCTGTTGCAGAGGGCTGGACTAGTTGACCTCTGCGGGTCCCTCCGCGGGCTTTGAGAACGGCACGAAATTGCGAATTTAAACCAATTTAATTCTCTTCCGCTCCTGCCTCTTCTCGCCCGCTCCCCCACAGTGAAATTCCCCGAGTCTAAATTTTACCTGGAATCGCACACCTACGAAGACCCCTGCCAGGCCGCGCACGAAGTCATGCGGGAAATCGATGCGTCTCGGATTAAAATCGAGCGAGTGATCGGCTCGGGTGAGTCTCCTTCAGTGGTGGGATTCAGCCGGTTCGGGCAAAGCGGTAGTTAAATATGCTGGCTGGCCCCGCCCCTTCCAGAAGTCCCCACGCGCCTCGTTTTGGCTCCCAGGTAAGTGCTGGGAGGCCTCCAAGGCCCAAAACGGGGCGTGGGAAGGGCACGTTTCCGGCCTCCGGAGGGCCTCCGGGTGGGGTAGGGGAGGCCATTTTCACCCTCCACAGACTCCTAGAAAGCTCCTGGAGCCTGGGGAGGGCAAAAACCTGGCCTTCCGGTCCTCCCAGAAGTCAGGAAATGAACCGTATCCCATTTCCGGAGGGACTCCGAGGGGATGGGGAAGGCTGTTTTCACCCTCCCCAGGCTCCAAGAAAGTCCCTGGAGCCTGGGGAGGGCAAAAAAATGGGCCTATCGGGCCCACCGTGCCATCGCATGCCAAAAGCGGAGGGGGCGTGTGAGTGGGGGGGTCACACATGCATGCGCCTGTTTCCCGATTTCTGGTGGGCCCGGAAGGCCCAAAAATCAGATGGCATAATAAACAACGGAAACAATAATCCTTTTTTTCGTCCGATAGGTGAATCCGGGGAGGTTTGTTACGGCCGCCTGAAGATCCCTGGGAAAAGAGAGGTACCCGTGGCGGTCAAGGCCCTGAAACCTGGTTACACGGAAAAGCAGCGGCGGGATTTTCTCAGCGAAGCCAGCATCATGGCCCGGTTTGATCACCCCAACGTTATCCACCTGGAAGGGGTGGTGACCAAAAGTAGGTTATTTCCCGCGACAGATGCAGGGTTCTTGGGGAGTTGTAGATCAGCCGAAACGAGCCACGGATCCGTTTCCTGGGACTTGCAAAATTCATCGGAGCCATTGCGCCCATTTCGCAGATGTAAAACACTGAGGCCGACGCCGAATATCGTTCTCCGATCCCTGGAGATTTGTCCTAGATCAAAGCTAAGGGCTCCCAGAGGTTGGTCAGGAGGTTATAAGCGGTTAGCGCTGCCCCCTGCCTTGATAGCTCCACCTCCTTCTGGCAAACCCCGCCCATTTGGAGGAGAGCAATTCCTTTGCAGGAAAACGTTGTGGGATTTTTATGCTTGTATGAAGGAAGGGTGGGTCCTTTGAACTGTCTATTTGGTCCCTGGAATGTGGTTAAGAATCAGAATGTCAGCGCCTCAGCGCTGGCATAGAGAGGAGAGAGATAAGCTCTGAACTTTTGCCTGCTAAATCCCTTTGAAGCCGGGTTGTCGTGGAAATGAGGAGGGGGGGAGACATTCCTGGGAAATGACGAGACAAGAAGTCTGGAGAATGACTTGGAAGATAACCAATGAGAAGCAGAGATTTGGGGATTGGAAAGGGAGGGATTGGGGGGGGCAAAAGGTCAGTCTTGTCCGCATCGAGTCATGATCCGATTGCTGTGCTCAATTAAAGAAAAGATTTCCTTAAAGATTGGCAGTTTGGAAATTCATTTACTTTGAGATAGCATCGAAGTCTGACACAGAATAGAGATGGAAGGGACCTTGGAGGTCTTCTAGTCCAGCCTTCTGCTCCAGCAGGAGAATCTATACCATTTCAGACGAGTGGCTGCCCCGTCTCTTCTTAAAAACCTCCAATGATGGAACACCCATAATTTCTGGTGGCAAGCTGTTCCACTGGCTAATTGTCCTCACCGTCAGGGAGTACAAGTGCATTTGTTTCACTTAACAACTGTTAGGTCGTAAAATGGGGGCAAAACTCACTTCACAAATGTCTCGCCCAACAACAGAAATTTTGGGCTCTCTCTTGTGGTCGTACGTCGAGGAATGCCTGGACTTCTCACCCCATGCCAGTCGCTAAAGGAAGCTGCCAGAGTGACAGACCAGCGCTCTCGTTTAATCTCTCTTGTCTCCTGCAGGTAAACTGATGATGATTGTGAGCGAGTATATGGAAAATGGATCGCTGGATTCCTTCCTCCGGGTAAGATTCCTTCACACCCGAGTGGTCGAAGTTGGAAAGAGAAAAGAGTGGTGGGCACCTCGGAGAAACGCCAGAGAACAAGTAGAGGTGTCACATTGGAGAGCTAGCAATCGCACTTAAGACTTATATACCGCTTATATAGCGCGAGATGTTGAAAACCCTTTATGTCCAGGATGCGAGGGGTCTGCGGTGGGCAGATCCTCGAAAGAGCTGAGGGCAGGAAGGGGTTGCCAGTTAGATGAGGTGCCCACCAGAAAACCCACACGGCTCTGAGTATTTTTTTTCCTCCCCTCTCTAGAAACACGACGGGCAATTTACGGTTCTCCAGCTGGTAGTCATGCTCAGGGGCATCGGTGCCGGCATGCGCTACCTCTCCGATCTGGGTTACGTCCACCGGGACCTGGCGGCTCGTAATATCCTCATTAACGGCAACCTGGTGTGCAAAGTGTCGGACTTCGGCCTCTCGCGCGTGCTGGACGACAATCCCGACGCGGCTTACACCACCACAGTAAGTGTCCGCCGTTGTGACTTGGTGTCTCGCGGGCTGAACTAAAGGACAGGCTCCGTTGGGACCGTCACGTCCCGAATTCTCGGAAAAAGAAAGTCTTCTTTTTCGCCTCCGTCCTCTTTTCCGCGCGTTCTCAATTCGCCTCCGATTTATTTATTTTTCCGCTCAGTCAGCCTCCAGGGGCTGACTCTGGAGTCCGTCAGAGTCTCTGGACTCTGACTCAGTCAGCCTCCAGGGGCTGACTCCAGGGGCTCCAAGAGGCTTTCTTGGAGCCTGGGGAGGGCGAAAATGGCTTTCCCCACCTCCCATCCCGGAGGCTGGAAACGGCTCGTTTCCCGACTTCCGGTGGGCCTGGAAGGCCTGAAAATTAGCTGAGCTTGGGCAATGCTCGTGTGCCCACAGATATGGCTCCATTTGCACCTGTGGCACACGTGCCAGAGGTTCGCCGTCACAGCCCTAGACCATTCTGACAAATAGACAAAAGAGTCAACCTCTTCTTGAAAACCTCCAGTAATGGGGGCATCCACAACCTCTGGAATTAAGTTGTTTCTTGGGGGAACCCTAGCAGTCATCTCATCAGACCCGCTATGTATTCCAGGGAGGGAAGATCCCCGTAAGGTGGACGGCTCCCGAAGCCATCACGTTCCGGAAGTTCTCGTCGGCCAGCGACGTTTGGAGTTATGGCATCGTGACGTGGGAAGTGCTGGCTTATGGAGAGCGGCCATATTGGAACATGACCAATCAGGACGTAAGTATGAGAAGGATCTGTAATGTGTCTCTGTGTGTGTGTGTTTGTGTTGTGTTGGATTTGAAGCTCCAGAGCTGTCTACTGTCCGAAGATACACAAAAATACCCCGATTTTTTTCCCCCGATTTCTCTGGCCTTCGATTCGCAGGCTGACAACAACCGTTCCTTTGCAGGTCATTCAGTCGGTGGAGGAAGGCTACCGGCTGCCCGCTCCCATGGGCTGCCCAGTGGCGCTGCACCAGCTGATGTTGAACTGTTGGCAGAAAGAACCGGACGAGAGGCCGCGCTTCTCCCAGATCCTCGGCGTCCTGGACAAACTCATCCGCAACCCTCAGAACTTAAAATGCACCGCCACGCTCAACCGGTAAGTTGGCCGTCGCAAACGATCAGCCGCAGCCAATTGGCCGTCGGCAAGTTAGCCGGCGGCGAATCCGTCGTGGTGAATTGGCCGCGGAGAATTGGCCGCAGCGGCTGATCCCATTCCAGGCAATCAGCGGCAAAACGGATTTCTGAAACGAGAGGCTAAAGCGCTCCTTGCCTTTTCCCATAACCCCTGAACTGAACCGGAATGATTTTTCCCGTCTTGCTTGCCCCCTTTCCTGGCATACACAGTGACACACACACACACACCTCCTGTTGTTGTTGTCCTTTGCCTGCAGGTTCACACAAACGTTGTCCGAACGGAGCCACATTGATTTCACCCACTGCGGCTCTGTGGAGGAATGGCTGGACTCCATTCGGCTGGGAAGGTACCAGGAGAATTTCGCCCTGGGTGGCTATTCGTCTCTCGGCATGGTGATGCACATGAATATCGAGTAAGTGCCCGCGGGGAAGCCATCACACACACAATAACACAATAACACACAACGCCAGTGTCTGATTTTCAGCTCGTTGGGCCTTATCTCTGAACACCAGGGGTGAAATGATCCCGGTTCGGACCGGATCACCCGATCTGGTAGCGATGACGGCGGGTGGTTCGGAGAACCGGTAGCAAAAATCTCTGCCTCCCTCCATGCCAAGCTGAGCCAGGCGATCGTCAGAGCCTTTTAAAAAACTTTTAAAAGCATTTTTTTTAAAGGTTAAAAAATGCTGAAGCCAGCTAGGCAAAAAATGGGGGGGTGTTGTTTCATTTTTGAGAGAGAGAGAGACAGAGAGAAAGAAAAAGAAAGACAGAGAGAGAGAGAGAAAGAAGAAAGAAAGAAAGAAAGAAAGAAAGAAAGAAAGAAAGAAAGAAAGAAAGAAAGAAAGAAAGAAAGAAAGAGGGAAGGAAGGAAGGAAAAAGGAGAGGAAGGAAGGACTACAAACTTGGCACTAGACGCAGCTTCAGAGGATAATCCAGGGCTGGAAGAGACCTGGAGGTCGTCTAGTCCAACCCTGCTCCAGCGGGACATCGTTAGTGACTTTCTGTCTTTTGATCCCCCAGTCAAAATGGCTACAAAGCCACACCCACCCAGTCACATGACCCCCCACCAAGCCACGCCCACAGAACCAGGAGGAAAGAAATTTAGATTTCACCACTGCTGCACCCAAACACACCCCACCTCCACCGGATAAAACGCGACGTTTCCTCTAGATTTGAGCCAGCCTGAAAACCGTCACGGGCAGGGGAGGGTCTCGGTGGTAAAGCGGGGGGACCTCAGAGGTCGTCTAGTCCAACCCCGAAGCTCTCCAAGGTGGCTGCGACTCTCCAGGGTCGATCCTGCAGGCCCATATTTTGTCCTTAGAAAATCGCTGCTTCCTGGAGACCCCTGCCCCTTCCTTCCCCCTCCCTCAAATCTTGGGGGGGGGGAAGGAATGCTTTTCAGGGGGGGCATATTTTCTTCCTTCCATGAAGACCCCGCCCCATCTGCAACAACCCAGAAGGATTTCTTCCCCTGCCCCGTTGCGAATCTAACGGTGGGATCTAACGGTGCTGGCGGAAGGCTCCGTCCACCCGTCCGGACGTCGTCATGTCCCGTTTTTGATGCTCTGCGCATATGTGGAAGGTCACATTTGCAAACCGGTAGCGAAGGTAATTTAAATACCACGCCTGGGTGCAAACCATCATTGGTGGTCAGATGCTGGTTTGTCTCTCATCTTGCCTCAAAGAGAGATTTTTCTCGCAGACGTTTTAAGACAAACCTGCCTTCTTCCCCGCTGTTTTTTTCAACCGGGGTGAAATTTGGACATTCGGATGTTTATCACGGGGCCCTCGAATCGGGCCGACCTCAGGAGGGATCAAGGACTACAAAGCCTTAGAAGCTAGAAGGACGGCAGGGGCTTCTCCTGGAGCTCTAATCTCCCCTCTCCCCTGCAAGACAGAAAGCAGAAGCAAACCGGCAGTCTTTAATCTCCTGGCCCTTTTAAGCGAGGAAAACATCAGAAAAGTCACCGATTCTTTCCGCGGCCATAAAATATTAAAACCTGCAGCAGGAGAAACGCGACGTCGAGAGAAATAATTAGGCCTTTTTTTTTTTTTTTTGCTTCGGGATCAAATAATTCTAGCTTGTTCTGCTTGTCTTTCTCTCTCCCTCCCTCCCTCTCTCCCTTTCTCTCTCTCTCTCTCTCTCTCTTTCTCTCTCTTCCCCCACATTCTCTCTCTCTCTTCCTTTCTCTTTCTTTCTCCCCACGTTCTCTTTCTTTCTCTCTGTTTCTCTTTCCCTCTCTCCCTCTCTCCCACATTCTCTCTCTTTCTCTCTCCCCATGTTCTTTCTTTCTCTCTTTCTCTCTCCCCCACGTTCGCTCTCTCTCTTTTTCTCTCCCCACGTTCTCTCTCTCTCTTTCTCTCCCTCCCACATTCTCCCTCTCTTTCTCTCTTCTTCTCTCTTCCTTGTTCTCCCTCCCTCCCTCTTTCTTTCTCTTTCTTTTTCTGTCTCCCTCTCTCTCTCCCATGTTCTCCCCCTCTCTCTCTGTCTCCCACATTCTTTCCCTTTCTCTCCGTCTCCCACATTCTCTCCCTCTTTCTCTCCCTCCCTTTCTCTCTCTCTTTCTATTTCTCTGTCCCCCTCTCTCTCCCACGTTCTCTCTCCCTTTCTCTCCTGCTCTCTCTCCCACGTTCTCTCTCTCTCTCTCTTTCTCTTTCTCCCGCTCTCTCCTACGTTCTCTCTCTCACTTTCTCTCTTTCCCGCTCTCCCATATTCTCTCTCTCTCTTTTTTTCTCTTTCTTTCTTTCTCTCTCTCTCTCTCCCGCTCCCTCTCTCCCCTTTCTGTCCTCCCATCCCTCCTCCAGAGACGTGCAAAGCCTGGGGATCAGTCTGACGGGCCACCAGAGGAAGATTCTAACCAGCATCCAAATCATGAGGTCCCAACTTCTCAACACCATGGGTTATCGGAGACCCCTCTGATAGGAACTCCTTCGGGGGCCGAGGAGGTCTTTGCGGCTGCTTGTTTTGTCGAGACTTGTTTTCGTGCGGGGGAACCCCACCATGGAGTTAGCTGGAGCCTCGCTTGTGGTGTCAGCAGTGGGATACTCCAGAACAAGGAGGTTGAAGGAGGCCCCAGAAACAGGCCGGGTCCTGTTCTCCACCGTTCCTCCTTAGGGTGGACTCCTTCAGACTGAACTTCTCCAGACCTTGGGCCCTACCTGATCGGTAGGGAGAGTGCGGTGGGGTGTCTCCCGTGCGAGACGGTCTTCGTGACTAGCCGGAGATGACCACTGTGGATTCTTAACAGACGTTTTTTTAAAAAGACACTGATTGCAATAACGTTCGGACTGCACCCTCGACGGCACCTTCACCAAGAGGGTTCGGAAAGAAGCCCCCCCCCTGCCCCCCTCTGCTTCCGTCGGAGGTGGACAACGGGTGGCCCACCTGAAGCTGAACAGGGATCGCTCTTCCCGCATTTCTTCCAGGGTATCCGGAGCCCACAAACTCGAGTCTCCCCGTCCCCCCTCCCCCAAGATCCATCTCCCTTAGCCCACCCTCCGTACTCATTTCCCAGCTCTCCCTCCCTCCCTCGCTGAGGAAAGCGGGATTCTCACCCACCACCACCTCTTCCGCGGGAGGGAAACTTCTCCACGTCCAGCCACATCCCGGGGAGAGTCCGTTTTCCGTGCCACGTTCCTTCAATCCAGAAAATTTTCTTGGTGCTGTCCTTGATTCTCGATTTACAGGGTATTCCATTATCACTCAGGGGTGGAACGCTGAACTGGTGTCACACACACATACACACACACACAAAACGACTCAACAACCTCGTTGCTTTCTTCCTTGTCGACCGAGAAGATCTCTTCCAGTCAAGGCCATTCCCTGTTTACTTCTTGGGGGGGGGTGTCTCCCGATCGACACCCCCCCCCAAACTCTCAAAAATCCATCACGGACGGTGTGAGAAATTAATCTGTGTCCCGTCACAGCTGACCGACAAAGCTTTGGGGAAAAACGGACATCCCGTCCAGAAGGACGTCTCCTGGATCATCTCAAGGCTTCCAGGATTGAGACCCCAGAAGAGCATCCAACCGCCCCCCGCCCCCACGAGCTCTTGTAGCATGCAATAAATTTTTTTTTAAAAAAAACCCTCCCCATCTCTACAGGGTGTAACCACCACCCCCTCGGCCACGACCAGCACCGGAAGCCCAGTCAAAGCCATTGTCGGACATATCAGCCTCATCCGAGGCGAGTGGCTGGGAGGGGCAAGGGGCGTGGCCTGGTGTGGTTAGCTACCGGTTTGGGCGAACTGCCTCGAACCGGCTGAATCCCATCACTCTGTAAACACCAACCTCAGCTCTTAGCCTCGGGCCGTCCAACGGCGAGTATCCTTCCTATGGAAGGCCGTTCTTTCATATTTTTGAAGCAAGGCAATAACGTCCGTCGTAACTCGGAGGTTCAGGAGCAGCGGGAGGAGCGGGCCCAGCGATCCGCACGCGACGTGGTGAAGGGGAGGGATTTTTGGAAGTCGGTACAGGCGTACAATGGGGTAGTGGGCTCCACAGGGTGGGAGGGAAGAAAACTCGTGGCCAGTCAATTCACTACGATCAATTCGCCGTGGGACAATTCAACCATTCAGGCAGTCTTCAAACGTACGACCGAAATTTTTGTCGTTAAGTGAGAACATTTGTTTTTAAGGGAGTTTTGCCTCGTTTTACAGGCAGTCCTTAACTTACAGGCAGTCCTTGACCTACAACCGACATGTCTGTCGTTAAGTGAGACATTTGTTTTAAGTGAGTTTTGCCCCATTTTACAGGCAGTCCTCAACTCACAAGTAGTCCTTGATTTACTACCGACATGTCTGTCGTTAAGTGAGACATTCATTTTTAAGTGAGTTTTGCCCCATTTTACAACTTTCCTCCCCTTGTTCGTTAAGTGAATCCCTGCCGTTCTTAAATCAGTCACACTGTCGTTAAATGAATCCAGTTTCCCCCTGGATTTGGTCGCCAAAAAAACCAGGGATCACGTGACTGCCCGTCGTAAAGGTGAGTCAGCTGCCAATCATCCGAATGTAAATCACTCGACTGAAACCAGTCCTAAGTGTGAAAACTGGTCCTTAAGTCCCCCCCTTTTTTTTCTTGGCCGTCGTAACTTCTGAACGGCCACTAAACGAACCATTGCACGTCGAGGACTGCCTGTATATACGACAGTTTTTTAAAACAATTATTTTGATTTTTGCCATTTCCCCTTTCATTCCGACTCTCCTTTTTTCATCCTTCAGCATTCAGCCGGTTTTGATCGGTTCAGGCGTAGCGCTAATAACGACTTACAGGCCCACCCGCCTCGGCGCTATGCCGTCCTATTTAACCACGTTTTCAAGCCGTGTGCATTGCACATGCAAGCCAAGCGCACGCAAGGCAGGCCATGCACATGTGCAAAAGTGCCGCACGCTCTCACATTTTCGGTGATGGGCAAACAAGTAGGTAAATTACGCGAATCCTACCTTTGAACCGCTTGCCTTCGGAAGTCGTGGGAGCTTCATCCCGGGAGTCTTTCAAGAAGAGACCGGACAGCCATCTGTCAGAAATGGTGTAAGGGGGGGGAGGGTCTCCTGCTTGAGCAGGAGTGGGGGGTGGGGTGGGGTTGGACTAGATGACCTACCAGGTCCCTTCCGACTCGGTTGATCTGTTAACGTTTCTATTCCCACTATTTCTCCGATATTCGTGTAAAGTTTCCCCCCCCCCGTGGCGAGTTGGCCATCACGAATTGTCCCCGCGGGCGAGTTGTTGTCCTAAGAACCCCGTGAAGATAAATTGATGGTTTGCTAATCTGCTGGGAGGAGGGAGGGCTGGAGATGGAGAAGACCTCCCTGGTTGGGCTGTGACGCTGTCTGTATTTTCGGCGTTCCGTCAACTTTGTTGGAGAATAAAACTCTTATTTTATTCTTTGTTGGAGAATAAAACTCTACGCCTGCTTTCTTATTTGTGGGGGAAGAAAGGGGGCAGGGAAGAGCCGTGAAGATGATTTGAGGGGTGGGGGGCACCGGACTATGAAACATCTCAAGGACAAGCGTTCCATAAACCCTTAGTAAGCATTCCACACCTGGATTGCTGTGTCCAATTTTGATCACCATATTATTAAAAAGAGGTTGAGACTTTGGAAAGAGTGCAGAGAAGAGCAGCAAAGATGATCAAGGGACTGGAGGATAAAACATATGAAGAACGACTGCTGGAATTGGGGGTGTCTAGTTTAATGAAAAGAAGGACCAGGGGAGACATGATAGCAGTCTTCCAGTATCTCAGGGGCTGCCCCAAAGAAGAGGGAGTCAAGCTATTCTCCAAAGCACCTGAAAGCAGGAGAAGAATCAACGGATGGAAACTCATCAAGGAGAGAAGCAACCTGGAATTAAGGAGAAATTTCCTGACAGTCAGGACAATGAACCAGTGGAACAGCTGGCCACCAGAAGTTGTGGTTGCTCCATCACTGGAGGTTTTTAAGAAGAGATTGGGCAATTCATTTGTCTGGAAGGGTATAAGGCTTCCTGCTTAAGCAGGGGGTTGGACTAGAAGACCTCCGAGGTCCCTTCCAACTCATTCTATTTCCTCTCTCTCTCTCTGTCTGTCTCTCTATCTCTCATCTCTACTCCTGTCTGTCTGTCTGTCTGTCTGTCTGTCTGTCTGTCTGTCTGTCTGTCTGTCTGTCTATCTATCTATCTATCTATCTATCTATCTATCTATCTATCTATCTTATCTCTCTCTCTCTCTCTCTCTCTCCCTCCCTCCCTCATCTATCATTCTATCATTTTATCTATCTATCATTTTATCTATCTATCATTCTATCTATCTATCTATCTATCTATCTATCTATCTATCTATCTATCTATCTATCTATCTATCATCTATCTATCTATCTATCTATCTATATCTATCTATCTATCTATCTATCTCCCTCCCTCATCTATCATTCTATCATTTTATCTATCTATCTATCTATCTATCTATCTATCTATCTATCTATCTATCTATCTATCTATCTATCTATCTATCTATCTATCTTATCTATCTCTCTCTCTCTCTCTCTCCCTCCCTCCCTCATCTATCATTCTATCATTTTATCTATCTATCTATCTATCTATCTATCTATCTATCTATCTATCTATCTATCTATCTGTCTATCTATCTATCTATCTTGTCTGCCTGCCTGCCTGCCTGCCTGCCTGTCTCTCTCTCTCTCTCATCTCTACTCACCTCTCCCTTTATTTTGGGGGGGGGCTCAATCCCTTCGCGTGGCTTGGGGGGGTCTCCGTGTCATAGTGCAGGGGACGAAGGGGGAGATATTTTATGGGCGAGGGTCCGAAGCGATCCTGGCAGCCCCCCACTCCCCCCCCAGTGTCATCCCTCCTCCCCTTCTCCATGGAAAACGTATGTGTGTATGTGTGTGGGGGTCTTTGTTGCTGCAGCTGGACAGCCGGTGATAAATAAAAGATGGGCACAGGTGTCTCCGACAATTTAAGCACCAGGCAGTGAAAATTTGGGTGGGGGGACCACCAGGTGCTGCCCATCAAAATTCAACTTCAAAGAAGCCCGAAGCCCAGACTGGCCCTTTGATGTGGCTTTCCGTCTGTCCCCACATCGTGGCAACGGATGGGAAACTGGTCCGAGCAGCCACTGGAGTGGGGTGGGGGTGGGGAGCCCCACAGGGGGGGCTACGATGGGGCGAGGCAGGATCTGCCCTTCTGGGAGGACGGTGGTGGTGGGGGGGCAAAGAAGCCCGGGCAGGAACCGTTGAGTTTAATCAAACCGGGCAGCCACAAAGGGTGGGAAATCTTTGCAAGATGCATTTTTGGCCCTCACAACGATGGAGGTGGGAGGAGGGAAGGGGAGAGAAAGGAGGAGGTCTGGCAGCGACCTCTAAATTGGGGGCGCCCCGAAAGGTTTTTTTTTCCTCCCCCCACCCCCTGAATTTTAATCTTTGAAATGTGAAAGGAGGGAGACTAAATGAAAAGGCCGAGCAAGGAGGGGGATTAAATTTGTTTTGCTTTGGTTTGAGCAAATGTCAATTCAATGAAGTCAATTCAAAGGAAGGAAGGA